TAGGGGTGCACAACCTTTTTGAGTGAAGGGCCACTTGCACAGCAGGTTGGCTAACGAAGGGGCGCAGATATATTTAGACATGTTAATGACAAATGTAGTAATGTTTATTTAAACATTAGCGTTCCATTTTTTTAATCAATAAACTTAGTAATATCAATAACTTAGTAGTGTTCCATTATTAGAAATCATTCAAAAGTAAAAAAAACTTAAACTTTTTTTTTTTTGCAAGAAAAAAACTTGCTATTTTTATCATATGAACAATAGATTTATCAAACTAAATAAACATTGAAGAAAAGAAATATTTTTTTTTTATATCATGTAATACGAAAATTCATTTAAGAATTAAATTCTAATAAATAAAAAAAAAACTGCAATGCCCACAGAATGAAAGTAGGAAAAAGTTTAGTAATATTTAAGTAATATAAATTCAAATTACAAATATTTTAATTGAAGAAAATTTATAGGTTTTAAACAAAAGCCTAAAATAAAAACAAAACTGTGATAGTTCAAAATAAAATTCAATGCTTATTTTGTAATGTACTTTATTATTTTATTTTATTAATTATTAGATTTTTCTATATCGTAAACATTTCCCTTTTTTTTTTTATCGAAAAAGATCACTTATATTTATTCACTTATCACTTATATATATAAGATCGCTATATTTAAACAAAATAATGCTTTTAAATGTGTCCTAATCAAATTTTTTATTCACTATAAATCGAAAGTTGAAAAGGGAATAACAAAATGTTCTCAAATGCATAAGTTCACTCGTTCTATAATTACATTTGTAAATTAACTTACCCATAAAGATAATAAAATTGTAATGATAAATGCAATACTATCAGTAAATGTATTATATTCTAATTGTAAATCTAATCCTGTTTGAAATAACTCGAATTTAATAAATTGGACTAATATATTTTGATATATTTCTTGGCCAAGTAGAAGCTTATCGCCTAGTTAGTGCTTGATTTTTATAAATTGCACCCCTCACATATCAATGAGGAGAGAGATCTACCTACAAACGTTATCAACTAGCAGTGCAATCAGCATACTGTTAGGGGTGGGGGTTACAATTGAGGCAATTACTGAGCGCAGTTCACCATTGCCCGCTGTTTCATTGATTTCCCTTCTTTAAATTCATTATCACTTCCAATCACTCGGTGTATCAGGAATCATTTTCAAATGTATTGGTTATCATAGCTATCATTACTAAAATATGTTTAACTTATTCTGCTGATTTCTTAGTTTTCTTTTCTTAGACTAAGATAATTTTTTTTTTCTTCTTAAGTTAGGCTTGCTAAGTTAAACTTGTAACTAATTTCTAACTAAAACCTCTTTAATACAGACCTCTTCTTTAACTCTTGAAAGCAAATGAAAATTTTAACTTTATGTGAGACATTTCTTATTTGTTCATTGTTGCGTAATGTTGTACAATTAAGTTGAAGGCCTTGTTTGAATAGATTGTTTATTTCGACATAAAAAAAACTGTTATAAAGTCTAATGAGTTTTTTTTTTATTTTCTTATCTGTTTTAATAATGTTCTCTGTTTAGCAGCAAATAATAAGCTTGAGTTGTACTAGTTATGAAATAAGATAAGAATATCTTATCTTGTATGAACCTGTAAATAAGAATAACTCAATTTTTTCTCTCTCTAATAAATGGGGTATAAATCCACTGTTCAAATAAAAACTCATATTATGCGTATAAAACATCAAATGTAATCTGTATTATTATGCTTTGCATTTTTTAAAATTCTTAATAAGTTAACATTCCACACTGGCATAATAAATTAAGAGAATTTGCAGACTTGGTCGATTATCTCTAGAAGTACTGGATCAACTTTAATAAAATTTGATACGTACGTACACTGATATAATATAAAACAAATAACCATTCAACAATTGAAATACATACGCATGATCGTGCGTAACACTCATTGGTATGAAACAGCGGTATAATAAATTAGGAGAATTTGGAGACTTGGTCGATTATCTCTAGAACTGCTGGATCAATTTTAATGAAATTTTATAGGTACGTACACTGATATAATATAAAACAAATAACCATTCAACAATTGAAATACATACGCATGATCGTGCGTAACACTCATTGGTATGAAACAGCGGTATAAATTAAGAGAATTTGGAGACTTGGTCGATTATCTCTAGAACTAATGAATCGATTTTAATGATATTTGATATATAGATACATTGATACAATACAAAACAAATAACCATTCAACAATTGTAATACACTCACATAATTATGAGTAACACTCATTGCAGTCGGATAGTATGAAATTGCCACAGGACAATTCAGGCCGATTGCCACAGGAAATGAACTGCCTTATTTCAAGCATGAAATCACGCTGTATGGCCTGTATATATATCTGTAAGAGGGATATACAGATATATATATATATATGTTACCGTTAAAGTATGAAATCTGTTATTTTATAGAATACCTAGTTATTCCATGAAATAACTGATCGTGTCCGTTAAAGTGTAAAACTCTCTTGTATTTCACGGTTTAACTAGTTATTTCATAGAATAACGATCTGCAGCCCGTTAAAGTGTAAAATAATCTATATGCTAGAGCTCAAAGTTTAGGTACCTACTGGTCAGGGATTTAAAAAATGTTCGTGTAAAACCCAGTGTGTCAACAAAAAATGTGTTTGTTTTAGAAATAATGTTCTTTGTAATTCCAAATGTCATTTTAGTAATCCTTGTTGTAACAAATTATTTTATGGTTCGTTTCCATAAATACCATTTATACGCTGCATAAATTAGATAAATTGCTTCTTTTTCATTTTAATTGTCTGTCATTAGTTTATAGAATACCTAGTTATTTCACTTTAGATAAATTGTTTATTTTACACTTTAACTGTCTCTCATTAGTTAGTTTATAGAATACCTAGTTATTTCATAGAATAACTAGTTAAAGTGTCAAATTAATGACATATTACACACTTTAACGGACACGATCAGTTATTTCATGGAATAACTAGGTATTCTATGAAATAACTGCATTATATACTTTAACGGTAACATATATACAGGCATTACAGCTTGACCCAGCTAAATCGGCACATGACTTCCCCCCCCCACAAGCGAACAAAAGGCATTGTAAGGAGTGTCTCAAAGGGACACATGCTACTAAATGATGGTCAGGATTACCCACCTTACGCAGCTCAAATCCCCCCACACACACACAGAGTTACAGAGGCTGTAGGGTTATCTTTTTAAGGGTATGTTCTAAGAGGTTAATATAATATTTTGGCATGCTTGTAAATAGTGGAATAGAATTAGCATTGTAATTTGGCGACTTAAGTGTACTTGGCAGAATAATCGTAGATCATTTGCAACAATGTCAGCCACAAGTGCGATCGCAAGGAAAAATTTCTTTTTCCTAAGTTCCCGAAGAGGGGGTAGGATTCTAGTATACAACGAACATACCTATAAATTACATAGGACATATAAAGGAATAGAACAATGGAGATGTAGGCACATGAAGCCTCATTGCTCTGCACGCCTTCGAACCAAAAATAATGAGATAATATCAGAATTCGGGTCACATAATCATGAAAATGATGCAAAGGTGATCAAGAAATGGATATTTACGAACGACATGGAACGGCAAGCTTTTGAACAAAATACGGTTCCTGTGAAAAGATTGTACGAGTAAGTCTTTATTTGATTATGTCTTTATAATGAGTTTAACCCTTTATCTACTGCATTGTCAACTACTGAAAATTTTTTCATAAATATCTTTTTTTTAGCTGCCATATTGATAATTAAAGAATATACAAGAAAAAAAATCTCCCCGGGTGCGAAATTTAATTTGTTAGAGCTAATTAATTAGTTTGAAGTGATTGGTGCTTATAAGTACCGTCAGTAGATAAAGGGTTAAAGTCCATGTTTAATTAACTACATATGTTCCCAAATAAGGAAAAAAAAATCTTGCATTTATATTTTTTTAACTATTAATTTTAATAAAAATTAAATATTTTTAAAAACTATGCTTAAAACATTTAATTAGCTAAATAATTCAGCAGGAAAGAAAATATTTTTAATGAGTTCGTAGAATGACTGGATTATTGTATATTAATATGCTAATGATAATTGAGGTACGACTTCACTATCAATAATGGTAATCAATTAAGGTGGGAATTCACTATGAATGTGAATGGTAATTGAAATATCTTCACATAATTTTATATGAAGCATGATATAACAATATTGTTATTTAAATACTATCTAAAAGGAAATTAGAGGTCTCACAAAAAGATATGCATTTAAAATAATACCATTGAAACAATGTTCGATATCTTTACTTAATAATCTATTTTAATAATTTCAAAAATGTTTCTTTTTTATTTTAATATATATATTGAATTCGCACGTGTCCACCTCACTCTGTTGATAAATGTTTGTTAAAAATTAAAGTGTTCAAAATTATAATTAACTTTCGCAACTAAAATTGAAAATATATGCAAACTAATTTCAAAAATGTTTCTATTTTTATTTTGATTATTTATCTATACATATATATTAAATTCGCACGTGTCCATCCCACAGGAATATTTCAGTAATGTTCCTTTAAACATAAAAGAGTCTTATATAAAATTTTGATAAAGTTGCGACCCGCTATTTGATTAGTGTTTTTATTTGCGGCCCCCAGCCTCGTGTAAAGGCCTGTTTAGACGATCCAATTTCTTGGACAGAGATTGATTGATATTGATGGAAACTTGTTTTGCTTTGAGCTTGGATGGATAGTGTAAACAATCATACAAGAACTTGGTCCAACTTCTTGGACGATAGTAGAGCATGCTCTACTTTCCATCCAAGTTTTTTCTCCCTTAACCAATCAGCGTCTTAGGTTTTGTGACGTCAACAAGCAGGCAGCAAATTATGCCATTTTGTTGTCGGTTTTCATAGATTTTAGTTCAAATAAATTGATCTGTTGAGGTTTATTTGTGTTATTATGTTTTTATTTGAATTTATTTAGTAATTTTAAACTTATGTAAGTATTATTTTATAATGTTGAATATGAACAATGCGCATGCACAAGTTTTTCTTTCAACGAATCAGCGACATTCAAGAACTTGGATAGTGTCAACGAATCATCCAATTTCTTGGACAGAGAAATCCGTCCAATTTCTCGGATTCAAGAAATTGGACCGTGTAAACAGGCCTTAAGTTGAAAACCCCTGTTTTAATGTAAACAAGAATAGTTACAACTTCCCTTACTAAAAAGGGGAAGAAAAAATAGTTTAAGCTCAGAAAAATATTTTTATCTTCATAAATATTTGTCTCATTTGTAAGCAAGTTTGCTGCTCTATTAAAAGTGCAAATAATATTTCGATTTCTCAATAGTTTGAAGTTGATTTTTCCTTTGTTTATTTTCATAGTCAAGCAGTTGGAAAACGTGCAACATCCCTGGAGGCTGCTGCCACAATACCCAAATTCATCACTCTTGCAAAAAAGATGTACAGGGCCAGGCATGCCCCCCTAATACATGTTCTGCCACATTCTGTAGATGAAATTCATCTAACAGAAGAGTGGCAGAACAAGACAGGTGGCCGAAAATTCCTTTGTATAGATGATGGCCAAGGGGAAGAAAGATTTCTGGTAAATATAAAAGCAATAATATCTAAATATTGCGGAACTAAAAAAGATTACCTGAATTTATAATTTGCTCTATTTAAACTAATAACTTATCGCTTTTGAATAAATAGTGAAAAGTTACCAGAAAATATAGGGAGGGATCTAATATTGATGGTTTACAAATAATGGGCTGTAACATAACTAAAGGGAATAAAGCAAAACCAATGAAATTAATTGTATCTATACACAATTAGGTAGAAACTGAGGTAAACAATTACCATGAAGGAAGAAAGAAAAAAATTGAAAATTCTCCTGAAATTTTTTTTACAAAATATTGATAAAAAAATCGCTATAATTAATAAAAATTTACACTGAACGTAAATTAAACTAAATAACTGAAATTATAAGAAATTAACATTAACATCAGTAAGTTATAATCGAAATAATGAAAAAAAAAGCATTAAAGTTTTTAAAAATACCATAAAAATGTTAAGCTTATGAGGCACATGTTAAGCTTATGAGGGAGCTAGCATAAAAATGTTAGCTCCCTCATAAGCTTTAAAAATGTTTTAAAAGCTTATGAGGGAGCTAACGCTACACTTACTTATGCCAACTGGTATAAGTTGAGTATCATAATTAAGAAAAATTTAAATGCGCATAAGTGTAAACCAACTAAAAATTTAAACCAAGTTTAAAACCTTTGAGGACTTATTTGGTCACTCTGAAGATTTCAAGCGAATGCATGAACGACTTTGATATCATTTAAAAGCTGCTTGCCAATAAACATCTTGAAAAAAAAATGATAAACGTTGCCACCTGGAGTACACTCCGAACATCATTTGCTTGGCGCTGGTTTGAAGTCAAAGAGTTGCCAAGTAAGAGGCGATAAAGGATAATTCTCTAGCACCCCTCTCCAGACTTATTTCTTCACCCCTCTGATTTTGACAGTTGAAGATTGATTGAGGATTACGCCCTCTGAAGAGGGGGAGAAGTTTAGGGTTGAGATAGCTGGAACAGGGAAGGGACCATACCCTCTATTAAACCATTTTTTGTTGTTCTTTATTTTGTTATTACCATTGTTTCATACTATAGTCCATTCCACCTTAAGTTGGCA